AAAGGCATCACCTCTTCAGGCGTCCTCGCTCACGGTCCACCTTTCACATGCATGTGATGTGACTGGAAATACCATGGCATGGTCAGGGGCACCTCAGTCCTCAGCATGACACCCTTGCCCTCCAGCACTTTAAAGGGCCTTCTGAGCCAATCAAACGCAGCTGCTTCCGGATGGAGCAGTGCTTCTGCGTGTGCTGTGCATGGAGTCGCTGATCTCCATTCGCCCCTGAGCCAGGTTGCGTTGTCCAGAGAAGCCAAACCAGCCACACTCACATATGTTTAAGAAAGGACTTTATGTCAAGAGAGAAATTTACATTAAGGAAGCAGCTCAGCCCAGTCCAACTCAATCCATGGGTCAGGTGTGAGCCGGGGGTCCTTCCAGACTCAGTCTCAGCAGAAAGCTTCACGATCACAGGCTGGTATGTGCAAGGTTTTGTGGATCCAGGTTTGGCAGAAACATGACAGGGCACTGACAGCTCTCAGGACCAGCAGTCCACGTGGGCCTCTGGCCCCAGAAGCAAGCAGAAAGGAGAAGAGCAAGAGAAAAAAGCCAGTCCCCTGATGTCTCTTATAAATAAACCCGCCCCCCCCACCACCACCACCAAGAGTCACCGTTAGTCTGTGTTCTGACTGAGAGATTAGTTTCCACCCATACCTTCTTAGAGGTGAACCAAGTTGACACAGAGGCTAACCATCACAGTCCATCAACCCTTCTCACCATGGCATCTGTGTACAACTCTTTAGCCATACGTGAGCTCCAAACAAACACAAAACAAAAATCCCACTTGTGCCTAACACGATACAACTAACACACGTACAAATGGATGTTCACGCACCCATTTAGAGCTTGTGTTTTGTGAGCAACACAAAAATATTTGATGCCTAACAATTGTGGTCGAGTGAACAGTTACCTACAGCTGAATCTTATAATCCGACCAGCATCTCCCCGCCCCACCTCCCACCCGCCTCCTCTTCCCTAGACCCATTAGGAAAGAGAAAATTATTCCGTGGGAATCTTCCCTTGTTCCACTTATTTCAGACTAAAGACACCCATTGCAGTTTTTAGCCAGCTGTTCCATGACTTTATCTCATCCTTTTGCTGCTATCCCGTCTTTAACTTCCCCGTTCCTGTTAACTCAGTGCTCTGAGGAGACAAGCATGTTCTTTGATGGGCAGAACCTGTAATTTCTCGTTGGGACTTTGGAGTATCGGCATCTATACGTCTAGTCTAGAGCAGGCCATCCATCAAGACTGCGACAATGCACATCGCAGCGTCAGCCTCTCCCTTTTTTCCTCCAGTCAGGTTCTGGCCACTCAGCCCTGTCCATTCCAAGCTAGACCAGTGGGGACCAGTAGCAAGCTCGGGCGTACACACATGCCTCCCTTCATGTCAGACCATCTGGTCCCTTCATAGATGCTCCCCAGCCCTAACCCCCTCAGGCTGAGTAAGTCGAACCATAGGCTCTGGTTCCTTACAACTCTTTAAACTGCAGACCAGCCAGCTTTTCCTCGCCTCTTGTCTCCAGTCCCTGTGAACCAGGTGGACAGGTGCCAGTGACCGAACTCAGCCTGTTTCTTCATTGCTGTGTTTGTCTCATGTACAGTCCATAAATGAGTCCAGGTGGTCAGCCAGTGAGCATGTCAGTCTCCCGGCAAGCTCCCTTCAACGTTCAGTCCCGGACAGGGATGTTCTCTATGAGGACACCCTGGCTGGTGCCACAGGCAACTATTTTATGCATTCTAGTTCCAATGCAATATCCTGACACTCAATGTTCTGGGTGAGGCTCTGCCACTTACTCTGTTGACTTAAGACAAAAGCCTGTCTCTTCTGGGCAAGTTCCAGCTTCCCTGTGAGCAAATCCAATGGTAAAGGCCACAGGCTGGCTTACAAACTCTCCTTAATCATAGTTTCCAATAGTCATGTGGATCATACATACATCATGTCTATCACATTGTCACATCATGTCTGTCACATGTGGATCGTACATCATGTCTATCACATTGTCACATCATGTCTATCACACACATCATGCCTATCATACATCATGTCTGTCACATGTGGATCGTACATCATGGCTGTCATGTGCGAAAGCAGTCGACTCCTAGGAGAGCTAGCTAAAGGGATCATTCTAAACCCAAGCCATTTTCAACACTTAGGCTCAATGTTTCTCCTCTCTGGACTGTCCCCTTACGACGGCTGGGACCCCAGGCCAGTGGCAGAGTAAAATCCAGCAGGCCTGCCTTCTCTCGGGCATCTTGTTTAAACAGTGTGACTTTTACCACAGGGAAACCCCCCAAAGTGGGTGTGCTTCCTCTCCTTCCACGGCAGTTCAAACCCACCAAGAATGAAAAGTTGCCCTTCCCACAGCCTTTCCTACTTCATCTCCCCAAACTCCCCTGAGACCGGAGCCCTAGCGAACAGTCAAGTTACAGACGCCGCAAGGGAACCCCATGGCAGCCACTTCCGGCCCTCCTCTGGGTACCCAAAGGAGAAGGAAAATCCAGCAGCACCCAGTTGCCATTGGGCAGGGGTCAGACATGCCTCCACCCACCACCCTTATGACCCGCTTCTCCAGAGCCCCACTCCTGGTACCTTTCTGTGTCAGGCCGAGTTTCCTAGAGAAACAAAACCAGCGGCACTCATATATGTGTAAGAGAAGGCTTTATTCCAAGAGAGAACTCTACACGAAGGAAGCAGCCTAGGTTAGTCCAACTCAAGTCCACGGGTCACCTGCTGGCGGGAGGCCCCTCCAGACTCGCACAGCTGCCCGCCAAGGAGCAGGAAACAAAGCTGGAAGCTGGTGCGTGTAGAGTTGTGTAGAGCTGTGCTCGGCAGGGCGCCGACAGCACTCGGGTGCGGCAGGCTGCAGTGGCCACCAGCCCCAGAAGCCGGACACAGGTTCCAAGCAAGCAGGAAGGACAGGCGCAAGAGGGACGGGCCAGCCCTCCACAGCATTTCCTGTACCGCGGCCACCTCCCCAAGGAGCTGTCATTAGGCTGTGTTCTGATTGAGAGGTTGGACGCCCCTCTGACCTTCCCACAGATGAACCAAGTGGACGCATGACCTAGCCATTACAGTCCCCCTCTGGGGTGGGTGGTGGGGCCACTGTCCAAAAAAACGGTTCCATAGGACTGCTGAGCCTGTAAGTCTTCTGAGACCACCTGATCTTGCTCTCTTGACATGACCGGGGGTCTTGAACCTGCAGTCTTTTCATTAGCAGCTCAACCCAAAACCCACTGTGTCTGCAGGGCTCCTTTGGATTACGACTGGAAGCCGTATTAAGTAATTCACTGCACCTCAGGCGCTAGGCTAGAGGAGGGTCCCGAGAGCCAGCACAGCGGTGGGCATCCAGGAGCAAGGCCTGCCCTCCTCCCGTTTCCTCGCCCAGCTCCTCCCGAGTCTGTCACCCACGTCCCGCGACAGGTCGTTGGGAGAGCCCGTGATCACGGCGGGGTGGAGGAACCAGCTGAAAGCTGATCTGAGGGAAACGTCCCTCTCAGAAGTCCGTGGGGCAGGCATACTCTGGGCCTTAGCAGGACTCGGGATGCACCAGACAGAGGGCTGGGCAGTGGGCGGAGGAGGCCAGCGGTGTCTGGCGGCTGATGTGGGGGCTGACCTCTCGCTGTTTTGCCCTTGTGTCCAGGTGTGAGCATGAATATCCAGCCCATGTACTTGGGGGAGAGTGCCCCCCAAGAGCTCCGAGGAGCCGTGGCCATGACCTCAGCCATCTTTGCGTCCCTGGGCATCATGATGGGACAAGTGGTTGGACTCAGGTAACCACCTTACATCAGGAGCATCGAGCGGGCAGAAGAGCGCTGTGCAAGTCCTTCTGTCCAGCTCTCCGCCGCCCGCCATGTAGATTGGGACAGTGAGGTCCTGCCCACATCCATCTGGCTCTGAGTGACTCATGTTCAGGCGCCTCACCTCTCCAGTCTTCTCCAAATCAGGCCTTGACAGAGGAGAGGGGGAAGGTTGGGTTTCAGCAAGGGAGTGTAGCCTGATCATACCAGGAAGGGTGGTCAGAGAGGACTCTGGAGGAAGGAGGAACAGTGACCCTACCTTCTCTGGCCCCTCCCAGGTGGGAGGCACCTTGACAGGTGGACGTAGAGCTGGTTCGAGTGTGGCAGACCGTCTGTAGGCAGGTGGCCCAAGTGAGGGGTGTTCTGGGAAGGAGATGCCTTGCCCTGCCTTTCCTCTGCCTCCCCCAGGGAGTTCCTGGGGGGTCCACAGGCGTGGCCCCTGCTACTGTCCAGCTGCCTGGTGCCTGCGGTGCTCCAGCTTGCCTCTCTGCCTCTGCTTCCTGAGAGCCCCCGCTTCCTCCTCATTGACTGTGGTGACATGCCGGCCTGTCTGGTAGGTGAGTGGATCCCAGGCCTCGGTCTCCAGACCACCCAGAAGGGATGGGCTCCCACTACTGGGGTTTCACCTCTGCGGGAAAACGGTTCCTCTCTTTATGCCTCACTATTCTGACCCGCCCCTCCTCCCCGTCCAAGTTCCCCATCAAGGGGCATCCTAAGCAGACCCAAGTGTCGCAGAAGGGAGGCCCCACACACCTGTGCACGATGAAATGCCTGAGAAAGCCATGCCCAGGGCCAGGTGGGCCGTGGCGTCCTTATCAGTCAGCTCAGGCTACAGCACCCCCCCCAAGGGGCCATCACACACCTCGCCAGTGTGAGCCCAAGGTTTACGTGGAATTGCAAAGGAATGCAGGTCCCTGAAACACCCTTGGGGGGGTGGGGAGAAGGGTGAGGGGCTCCCACTTCATGATGTCAAAACACAAAGCAGGGCTCCACACGATGGAGCTGTGGCCCAGGGAGATGGGGCAGCCGCCCTCACAAAGACGCGACTGGTTGTGCTGCTTTGACCGCTGGCGTTTGGATGGTTGGCAGGCGCGTGTGTGTGTGTGTGTGTGTGTCTGTGTGTGTGTGTGTGTGTGGTTCAGAGTGGTGTGATTGATGGCCATTGTGTTAGACAGGGTTCTCTAGAGAGATAAAACCAAATTGCTGATAATTTAATATATTTATTTATAAAGATAATTAGGTATATAACACAAGACATGAACTGTTAAATTATATACAGGTAGATATATAATACAATAAATGAACAGTTAAATTCTAAAGCAGCACAAATGGCTCAGTGCAACTCACTCCCGTGAGAGCGTTGTGAGACACTGGCAGTCCTTCAAGTCTTGAGGGCCGCCCGGTAGTCCTCTGTAGAGAGAGCTCGGTTATCCCAGCACAGGGAGCAAAACTGCAAGGCACGTCACCAACTGTCAGTTCTCAGCTCCAGAGATGTAAATTTCAATCGTCTGGTCTTAAAGGGACCTCAACTTACAGCGACACAGTCCACAGGCTGGGCGTCCCCCAGGTAGTGTAGCCTGTAAATTGAGGCACAGGACAAGCAAGGCAGCCGCACACTGGTCCGATGATCACAGAGCGAGAGACAAGAAAGGCGAGGCTCATCAAGGCATTTCTCTCTCCGCCCTTCAGTTGTGTTTATCGGCCAGGCTGGCACAGTAAGCTTTCGCAGCAATCTTTCAGTGAGGCACCAGCAGCTGTGTCCTACTTGGGTCAAAGTCGGAAACACAGGAGACTTGATAGCTATGCAACATCCATCATGTCCTTGCTTCCGTCGACAGACTGGGCCGTCTGGAACTAGCATGAAGCCCTGTTTGCAGAACCACAGAAAGCACAGATAACTACTCCGAGGGCCCGGAGATAAGCCCGTGTGTCTACACACTCGCTGCCATCACGTTGATACTGACTCACAGTGACCCTGCAAGACAGGGTAGAACTGCCCCTGTGGGTTTCTGAGACCATCATTCTTGACGGGAGTAGAAAGCCCCATATTTCTCCCAGGGATCAGCTGGTGGTTTTGAACTGCTGACTTAAGGGCTGCAAAGCCCAACACAGAACCACTCCGCCTCCAGGGTCCCTCATATGTCTATAGCTGAATTGATTTTCTATACAGGGGCCAGAGCCATTCAGTATGGAAAGAACCACCTTCGTGGAAGGCACAGAGAGAGAAACACGGGGCACGCCAAAATCAAAGCCTTAGTGCCTGGAGACATTGTCAACAAAGTGAACCCACAGGCTGGGAGAAAATACCGTATAACTGATAAGGGCCATGGACATTCATCTGGCCCGCCGGGTGCTTTTGTCCCGTTTGTTTTTTTACTTCGAAATAAGATATGTGCAGCGTGCATAGGAATTTGTTCATCGTTTTTTCTAAAACTATAGTCTGGCCCTCCAACAAGTCTAAGGGACAGTGAACTGACCCCCTGTTTAAAAAGTTTGAGGACCCCTGGCTTAGAATGTATCAGAACTCCTACAACTCGGCAGCAAAGAGATAGTCGAGTGAGAAAATGGGCCGAGTGTGGGGAATTTGCCCCACAACCAAACAGGCCCTGCGATTATATGAGTGTGATTCTGGAAAATAAGAGAGACTGGGGAATCGGGACAGGCTCCTCTCCCACGGTGGAGTCAAGAGGGGGAGGGCCAGTTCACTAACAGCGTGTATAGTAGCGGGACATGTAAACCTCCCTCGGGCACATGCACAGGAGACGGGGCAAAGCGTGAACCTGGGCGATCCTGACTCCTTTGGGGGGAACATCTCAAAGGACGTGTCTGGCGAGCAAGGTGGGAGCGGTGTCCACGTGCTGACCGCCGCTCTAGGAGCATGTTGACCGGCAGACAGCCGGGAAGCAGGTTGTCGACAGGATGTGTGAGATCATCTAGGGGTTTGTAGGAGGCGACATCGTCTCATGGGGGTCTGCGTGAAGAGCTTGTTCCTGGGGAATTACAGGCGTCCGCTTCCTGTTAACTCACAGGGAGAAGGGTCAGTCCTTCCTGAAGGTATCAGGCCGCTAAGACTCAAAGGGAAAGGCTGACTTCTAGCCTGTGAGGGATAGAATGAGCCCTGTCTCCTTTAGAGATCAGGCATGTACAGCCAGCCGCGAAAAGGCAGGCACCCTTAAAAGAACAGCTTTACGTTAGCATCGTAAGAGAGGTCCCTCGTAGGAAGAGCTCTTCCTGTCTGTCTGGAGAATGCTTCTGGATTATTATTTTTCTCTCTCTCATCACTGAGAGAACCTTCCCCCGGCCAAGGCCAGCTTCCCAGCCCCGTGGCTGAGAGTAGAGCATTTATATTTTCATCCAGTCTCTTCGTTTCCTATAGCAAAGGACTTGAATAGACTCTTTTTTCTTCCAAAGAAGCTAGGACGGTGATTGCGCAACGCATGACAATATGTTTTAGCCCTGTTAGTTTATTAACCCAGCATCATTAAACCAAAACTCGCAATGCCGCTGCCTCCGAGCTAATTCCGGCTCATAGCAACCCTATAGGGCAGAGCAGCCCCACCCCTTGGGGTCTCCCAGGCTGGAAAACTACAGGAGCACACAGCCAACCTCTTTCTCCTTCAAAGTGCTTGGTCAGTTAGGCCTGCTGACCTTGTGGTTAGGAGTTCAGGGCGTAGCCCAGGACGCCACCAGGGTGGCTAGCCCCCGCATTTGTTTCTGTTTGTTGTGCTTTGTTTTTCAGTGGCAGGGCCAGGGGGGTGGGGGAAGGCAGAGCTGCAAAGTCAGAGTAAAGAGGGGCACAGGCCGGGGAGGGCATTGGAGATAAGATCATTTATCAGGGAGGCACTTTTTTTTTTTTTTTCCTCCTCTGACACACAAGGGTAGGGCACACAGTTAGTCATTAGTCTGCTACCATCAAGGTTAGAAAAGGGATCAGGTATCAGGCATCATCAGAACAAAAAAATCTTACCATAGTGAATGATGGGGGGAGTGCGGAGTGGAGACCCAAAGCCCATGAGTAG